CCCCTGCACCGGCCGCTGCCCGCCCGGCAGCCCTCACCATGGGGAAGCTGAGCTTCTGGGTGATCTCCCTGTAGTCCTCGTTCCGCTCCTTCACCTGCGACTGCCCGGCCGTCAGGTGGCTGCACACGAAGCAGAAGCTGGTGCTGTGGAACTGGAAGCGGATGCCCACGGCGCCCTTGTTGCCCGCCTTCCCGCCCATGCCCGTCTTCACCGTGTCGATGGCCACCTCCCTGGAACAGAATGAGCACAGGCGGTGGCTTCTTAGTGGCTTCGGGGAAGCGCATCGACCTGTTCGGCTACAGAGAAGAGCCGGCCGCAGCCCGAGGCTGCAGCTGAGGACTCCAAAACCACCTGCTCAGAGCGTTTAATCCCGTCTTCAGGCGCGACCACCAGCAGCTCCGCTGCCCCTGACCTCCTCCCTCCTGCACTGGCACTGTCGGCAGCCGCCCGTGGGTCTGGAGTGCCTCTCCCGCAGCCCCAACTCTCAAGGGCAGGGCTCGGCACCCACAAAAGCACCCCACAAAGCAGCCCTGAAGCCGACCCACCTCCATCCCTGCTTCCTGATCCGAGTGCTCGCTGCCAGCACGGACGGCACCACCCGCCACCCCGCCCGGCTTTCCTGCAAAGCTCAGGAGGTGCCACCAGGGATCAACATGTTTAAGGAGCAGGGAGCATCCAGGGAGCGGGCAGGTGGTTCAATGCAGACTCCCGATCGCCTTAAAGTGCCAACGTACAATGCACACGAGTGGGTGCGCAGGTGACAGACCGAGGCCCACACCTGCTGCAGAGGCTTTCTGCCCACGTGTCTTAGATTTTTTTTAAAAAGAGGCAAAGCATTGGCATTTCCTGCCGAGTTACTCAGCTCTTGGGTCAGAGGTTTCCCCGACTAAAATGTCAACAAGGCATTATCCGTCCCTTCCCTTGTGCAGAGCTGAGCTGGGTGACTAAGACTCCTGAAGGGGCCCCGCTTCCTAAGCTAGCTGGCCCCATTGTGGCTTGTTCTCTGCTAGACAATATTCTATTCAGCCTAGTTTCTCCTGGGGGTTTGCTTCCATTTATCTAGAATAATAGCAGGACGAAGAGGAAGTCAGAACAAAGCACCATGACCAACAACCCCCATGCCCCCCTACCCCCATGCTCGGAAACTCCAGGCTCCTACCTGATGAACGGGACGTGGTAGGGACGGACAAAGATATAGAGACAGACGCCCACCAGCTGTGCCGAGGTCAAGAGAATGTACCTATGGGAGCGTGAGATGGCTTTCTGAAGCTGCTCGCCCCACATCTTTCTGTTGGTGGTGCTGGAAGAGGAAAGGAGACAAAGACGCCAGTCACCGTCGGCCGGCCGT